ATATATACACTTCATATATATATATATACATATATATATATATACATTCTATATATATATATATATTCTATATATATATATATACACTTCATATATATATATATACATATATATATATATATATATATATATATATATATATATATATATATATATAATACTTTTCTATATATATATATATATATATATATATATATACACACACACAATAATGTTGATTCTTTCTATATATATATATATATAACACATAACTAATGTCGCTCAAGTCTAGACATATATTTTTTTTATAGTGCTCCTATACAATGATAATGCTTATTCATTTTCTACCATGGTATGATATTTTACCAACTGTTGGAAGTATAAAACATGTTGGTGTTAAGGTTAAAGGCAGTCAACAGGGAACTGGTTATGTATTAAAAATTATTAACAATTTTTTATACTAAAAAAAAAAAAAAAAAAAAAAAAAACACACACACTACATAGTGATTTTAATTTTTACAAACTGATCTGATGCCAATTAAAAAAAAACTGAACAGTTCCTAGTTTTTCCTAAGCATTTTCCAGCAATAATGAGTGCATTTCATTTACGGTAGGTCGCAAATGCCTTGGTAGATATCATACTATATAGTAGCACCTTTTTTATAAAATTACTACATCAACTTAGGAACTATTTCTTCTATATGCTGTGTCCCATCAGGGGATAAGCAATTATGGCTCTCCACAATTCTTTCCTTTGTATCTCTTATTAAATTTTGTATTGTTATCTCTCTTAAATCTTGTTCTGCCATCCATGTACTCAAACTCGTTATGTAGGTTATGTGTGATTTTACTGTCCCTCTTGCCTTCAATATGTCCTGTGAGTATCAAATTTTCCAAGCCCTCTTTTCTCATTATGTGCCCTAGAAATTTCAATTCTCTTCCTGGTGTTAAGTAAAAGTTTCTTTTTTATTTTCATTTTCTTTAAAACGTATTCAGTACATGGTATTCTCATTATCCTTCTGTAGAACCATATTTCTGTTGCTTCAAATCTCCTCTTCATCTTTAACAAGACTGTGAAACTGACCCAAGTAATCACTTTATCAACTGAAAAAGTCTCACCATATACGCAGTACCACATTCACTAGCATCTTGTCACTTTTTTCTCTTGCGTGGTGTTTTTATGCCGAGCTGATCTCACAAAAAATTTGCATATGCCCAACCACTCTTGCCAATTCTCTTAACTCCGAGACTGTCTTTTTTAAATAAAGGTGTTAGGGCAACCATATTTCTTTTTCCTTTCCTTCACTCGTTTTGCACGTCAGGCATATACGTGCTTGCTTTGCCACACGAGGTAAGTCATCTGCTCTTCTTACATTATTCGGGATTGTTATCCACATCTCCATTGCCATATTCACAACATTTCCAGCTGTTGTATTCTCCAGCCTTCAAATGTCTCAGTAATTATTTTTACTAAAACTCATATTGCAATTATTTTTATTGCTTTTTATAACAGAGCTTATACTGCAATTTTTGTTATTCACTACTCGGATTATTCAGATTGCTATCCACATATTCATTGCTATATACACAACGTTTAGACCGCTGTACGCTCTGGCCTTCTTCAGGTGATTGGAATTTTGAAATGTACCCAGGTAATCTCTTTCCTACTGACAAAGTCTCTCCATACAAGCAGCACCACATTCACAAGCAAACTGTCTGTTCTCTCTCGCATGGTGTCTTTTATGCAGAGTTGCTCTCACAAAAAAATTTGCATATGCCCAACCACTCTTGCCAATTCTCTTAGCTCCAAAACTATGTTTCTTAAATTAAGGTGTTAGGGCAGCCATATTTCTTTTTCCTTTCCTTCATTCGTTTTGGACACCAAGCATATACATGCTCGCTTTGCCACATGAGGTAAGTCATCTTCTCTTCTACAGAAACTGTCCAGCATTCACTGCCATATAAGAGGACTGATGTTACATAATTCTCTTATTTTATGGGTTTGTTATTTAATATTGATAATGGTGATACTAGATAATTATACTTTTCATCCGAGACATTAATTAGCCAAAGATGAAGTGTTTGATCTAAGAAGCGAAGGGATCTTTTTAAATTATTTCATCCCAGTCAATTATGAGCCATGCGTGACACATGCTTAGGCGATCATGTACCTTTTGATACATGACTGACGAGGGATATTTTTTCCCCTCAGTAGGTTGCCATTTCTTTCTGCAGTAGACCAGTTGCCATCCAAGGCTATAGAATCCAATTTGTCCTGCTATTTACCCATAGCTGGGGTAGAAGAAGAGGATCCATACCTTTCCCAAGTGTACTAGCATATAAGTGAATGTAATGGATTCAATTGGAATACGAACTCAGCTCTTTGATTCCTCAATCTAAGCCACTTATGCGTTATTCCATTGTGCCCCAAGCAAAACATATAAAGCCACCAAGACGCAAGATGTTACTAAGTGTGAGAGAATATAAGAAAAAGAAAACATTAAGGATAGAATAATAAAATTAGGCAAATATAAAACTAAGTAAGTAAATATAATAAAGCCAATTGAAATTGGCACTTGGCTTTCCAATTTCAACTTACATTATTCAGACTGTTTTCCTCATCTTCATTGCCATATTCACAACATTTCGGCTGTTGTAGACTCCAGCCTTCTTCAGGTGATTGGAATTTTGAACCGAACACTATTTTGTTCACCAGGGTAGATTGTTCTAGTTCCATGTGCCATGCCTCTTCTGGATGTCTCCATTATTTCCCTTTAACTCAACTCTCCAAGTTTTGGTTCATCACTGCTGTGGCCTGTTATTGAACTCTCAACTCTTTGGGTCTAGTCACAGGATCTAGCCAACACCTTTATCCACTGGGCCATGTGTATGGCAATGAAGATGAGGATAACAGTCCAAATAATGTAAGTAATCATAATACCACATATAAGAGATATAGACAGATATTCCAATTTCAAGCTGTTATAACTTCACCACCTACATATCTAAGCTTACAGCACCTGGTATTCTCAAGCTGTCACCCATCTAGTTAGTGCCCAGTCTCAATGTTGCTTAACTTAAGTGATCATACGGGAACTGGGATTTCAGTGGGTTATGGCTGTAAGCTCCAATTATTTCTAGAAAAGGTACAGGGAAGCTATGTTAGTGACCTAGATCAGTGAAATGGCTAAGAAGCAAATGCTGGAACTAGACAGGTGTTTTGACTAAGCCAAATTTATAAAGTGTGTGAGAAATGATTGATTGGGACTAATCAGTTATCCTAAGCTTCAACTATTCCAAGAGATTGTCAATATATAAGCTGTTTAATTCAGACCCTCGGGCAGTTATCGCCAGGAAACACTGGATGGAGCAAGCTGGGACTAACAGACAAACTATCAATTCCCTTTTGAGATGAATGTATAGCTGAATGAACCCAAGAAGACTATTTTTTGTCGATTTAAGAATTTCAGTCCTTAGTCAAGCTAAAGAAGATTAGTGACCATTTTTGATTGTCTGTACAAAGTTAGCTAACCTATTAATTGAATGAACTAGTGAGGAGTAGCTGTCTGAGAATTCAATGACCATAGTTAGGAAATCTGTATCACTAAACAGGAAATGACTAATATCAAAACATCCAATTCTAAATGAAGAGTTTTTTTTTCATAAACTGGCATTTTTATCACAATTTTCTTTTTTTTTTTTTTTGTGGCCAGATCCATTTGACTTGATGGACATCAACTTATCCTAAAGACCAACTCAACTCTAAAGAGAACAATGAAAGCAGGGAAGTCAACCAAGCCGTCAAACAGAGAGGAACCGTCATAGTGACATTTTTTTTTTTTTTTAAATTCTGGGTGTTTTATAGTTTTAAATAGTCTAGCCATTGTTACAGAAGTCATACATCATATGCAAGTGTGGATATAACATTTTTATTTTTAGCCCAATAGTACTTACTCATAATTCAATGATTCACTATCCCAATGCAGTTTCAGATTTCAATGTTCTCTATTAACTTCTTCCCTGATGTAGACATGTATATACATTTTTACCAAATGTGTCCTTTTCAGGCACGAACGAATAAAAACATCCAAAATCCACCTACAGACATGTTTATATTGATCGAGATTCATTTTTATATCCTTCCAAGCTTGAAACGATTCTAATTGTCAAATACATTTGGTAGAGGTGTTAGCCATTGCTCAGGTACTTGAAGGTGTCTCAGTTTCTTAGTTACTAAATTAAAAACAAATAAAAAAAAAAATATGTCTGAAAATGAAATGTTTTTCTCAAAATAATTGGTGGGAAGTGGTTAAACCACTTCCTAGATATTTAAATTGTCATACTTGTTTGATTTCAGTATCTAGTAGGGGTAAATAGTCCAAGAGATGGACAATTCTGAATTTAAGAGTCATTGTGACAGGGTAAAATCCATTACTCTTGTTTTATAGGCTTGAGATATACTGGACTCCTACAAAGGACTGAGAAGAAAAAGAAAAGCTTCATCATGTACAGAGAAAGTAAGAAAAAGATAATCCTGTTCAAATATCCCATTAACATCGTAAAATGAATTTGTTCATTGCAAACTTAAGTTTTTCTCTTTCAGCCAGATTGTACCTGAAAGAAAAACATTTTAATTCATTTTCTCCCTTATCAGCAAAAGAAAAAAAAAAAAAAAAGTAAAAAAAAAAATTGCTAAAAAGAAGCTAACATTTTAAAGGCATTATAATTCTGATATTTTTAGCGTAAATTTTCTTGTAACCCAAAAAACAAAATCATTCAACTCTTCACTTAAATATTACTGCAAAAGCAAAAAATTACATTTACTTGTTTGAGCAATAATTTTAAATAGCTAAATTCAACAGCAAATGTCTGCTTTTTTTTAATTGACTATTTTAATACATTTTAAAAGTTCAGTCATTGACAACAAAAGTACACTGAGTAAAATTTAAACAAAGTCAAAATATTTTTTTGTCTGAATTTCTGGGATGAGGAATTATCATTATTTACGCTATTTATGTTCAGACTAATATCCTCATCTTTATCGTTAATTACATGTCCTATGGAACAATGACCAAGTGGATTAAAGTATTAGGAATTTAGTGACATTGCAGTAGTGAGTTCAATTCCTGGGTTGGGCAGTGTGTACTTGCACACAAGCAATAACTGAACAATACTAAATAAAAATAAAGAACTAGACAAGATATCCCTAGAGATGAGCAATGGAACAAGAACAGCCTACTCCAGTAGATTAAATAAAGGGTTAAGAATATACACCTGAGAGAGGCTAATGGGTACAATGGCTGAAACAATGAGATGGGGACAATAGTCTGAATATAAATAAAGTCAAAATATCTTTCCAAGTACAATAAATAATGAGCCTTTAGTTGCTTTTTTTTTTTTTTTTAAATATTAAAGCATAAATAAAATGCAAATACAGTAGCACCAAAGAGTCTAGATTTCAAATCTGACTGTGTTGTATGGTTAACACAAATGTAAACCAAAAACAGTGATAATAAATTAAATATGAAGCAACCATCAACTCAGGGATATGACAATATTTCTTTGAATGTTTTATATTTCTTTCTCCTGTTGCAAAATCTTTCAAATGCAGAACCCCAGGAATCGATCTTTGCAAACAAATACTAGATCAGTCACCATAGTAAGAAAAACCTTATTTACAAAGATTAGAAAATTCCAGAAAATTGGTAGGATGAGCCTCTTAAAATTGGGCTCTGGTCTCAGAAGTTTCTATCCTCTGAGGTTGCCCCTTGTCCTATATCTTTGTTGGGGAAAATAAAATTTCCTTGCTGTGTGTAACATATCAAGAGATAATGATTGACTAACAGATCAAATCTTATGTAAAACCAAGCACTGAAAGGTCAATGTGACCAATTTTCACAAGCTAACAGACGATTGACCTATTTGACTAAACTAAGTAGAAATCATAACATACATACATAATAATTGTGTGTGTGTGTGTGTGTGTGTAAAGATTAATTCAGTGTGTATGAGTATTTAGCAAATGATGTAGGGATTAAAATTTAAACAATCTCCTCTTTCAATTTCCCCCAGCTCAGACAAGTCGGGATAAAGTTGAACCGGTTTTGTTTTTTGGGGGGGATTTTTTTTTTTACCTTTTACCTCCTTTAATGTGCAGCCTATTGTAATTAGTGAAGTCAGTATCTTCTAAAAGCAATGATTACCTAAGCTTGCATTTCTATCTTTTTAGGTGCTCAATCAAAGTAGCCTTTTGTCAAACTAAGCTAAATATTTCATAGTTTATTTTTAATTGGATAAAATTCAGAGTGCTTCATCTAATAAAAATAAACTGTGAGACACACATGCACACTGGTAGTGCCTGAAAAGTTGTTGGTCTTATCCATTTCTCAAAGTGTTCTGGTGTTTGGTCATTAAAACGCTGATTTTTTTTTTTTTTTTTTTAATTTAAATGTGGAATTTACAAATGAAAATTAACAATTAGAAATGAGGCAACCTTTCAGATTTCATGTGAAACGGCCTGAGAGGAGACTCTAGGTAATTTGGATTGCAAACGTCAACTGAAAATACCTTGGAAGTATTTAGTGAATTTAAGACGATAGTTTGATTTTGTCTAAATTTTACTCGGTATGGTTTTCTTAATTGTCAATGACTTGGCTTCTAATGTATTGAAAATCGTAGTCAATTAAAAACCTGTTATATTCTGTGCTAATAGGAATATATACTTGAAAAACACGGTGGATAAAATAAGTAAAGGTTTATTGTAAAAAAAAAAAAAACAATATAATAAGAATAAAGGTAACAGTTATGCACAAAGGTCATCACAAATCAATTCAGTAGTGAGTGCTACTATTAGAAAGTTGGTAGATCTTGCGTAAGTCTCAGTTGTACTCAACAGATCCCAGCTAGATTCTGTAGTCCATAGACTTACAGATACTTATAGTTAGTTACTACCTATAGTGTAGTCACTCATTGGGGGGTGACACATTATTCCATTACATCAAAGCCATACATTTGGAGTTAAATTTAAGTATTATTGTACAGATCAGTGACTTATAAGTTTTTCCAATATTTCAGTTTATGTAAAGATCTCTTGATTACTAACATTCTGTGACTAATTTTATGCTATCTCAATGATGTGGTTTTTATAACACAGTATTTTAGACAGTTTAGCAGCCAAATAGAATATTAACACAGAGAATTGAGATAAAATGCAACAAAAGTAAAATAGAATAAAATTGGTCATAAAATAACTGTAATAAAAGAACATTTATCACAGAGTTAAGATAAAAAGCAATAGTAATAAATTAGTAATCAAATAATAGTAATAATGAGGACTATATCAGACCAGTGTTGAGATAAAATGCAATAGAAATAAGATAAAACTGGTCATAAAATAATAGTAATAATGAAAGTGCTTCAACTAAAAATTATAAAATAAACATAGAAAATAAAAGTAATAACTGTCTAATAATTAATTAAATATAAATTATTTATAACAGTAAAAAAAAAAGGAAAAAGTTAAAAATAAATTGGTTTGATTTATTTTATGGCATATCAACCTGAATGGCTTATTTAATGCCGAAAAAAAATTTATTGCTGGTAATTTTTTTTTTTTACAAAGTATTCCTGGTATTAAAATGTATTTTTACACTTTCATAGTGATTTGACACCAGCTCAGGGGTTAACTATTTGCCCAAAGTTGGGGCCCTAACAGGTGCTACCACTCTGGGTCAGGGTGAACCTGGGAACACCAGCAACTAAGAGGTGGTTCCATGCTCCTCAAAACCTCCTGATCAGAGGGCTTGCTGTTGAATGTAGTTTATCACATACCCAGGATGGAAAAATAAATTATTTGCCACCGTAAACAAAAGTATCTGATAATTCAATGTTATCTGAAGTGCTATGATTAATTTTTGATATTCTATTAATTATTCTATCTTTTATTTTGAGCACAACGTTTCAGACAATGTACAAGATGCACTGTCTATTTGAGAATACCTTTTGTTTTTTTAAGTTTGTTTCATCCTATGAAAGGCAGTAAAGCCACTAAGAAAAAAGGGGTTATTGGGTGTGGAAGAATTATGAACAGAAACATTAATAATGAGCAGGAAGTGAAAAAGGT